AAATAATGTTTAATATAAAATAGAAAATCTGAAAATCTTGCAACGTAACGCTTAGCGCGCCACGGAAAAATTGTTAAAGCAGGTGTAAATGAGCGTCGCCACGGACATAAAACCTAACAAGCTGGAAAATTAGGTCCCTCAGCGTAGATCATCGGCAAAGCGGAAAGCGTGGCGGACACAGACTAACCACAGCACAGTACTTGTAAGCTGAAAACCGCAGAGGCTTGTAACTAACTAACTAATGCCGCACTGCCGCCGACGAGGCGCGACCGCGCGCTTGCTTGCGATCGCTTGACCAACAGGGCTGCTAAGGCGACAAGTGACTGGCTGGTTATATGGTTGACTTACTGACTTTCAGGCTTTCAAGTGCCCACATACAAACAACGATTACTAATAACTTGCTTTCGTGTCCACTTGCTTTTCGCCATTTAATGAAGAGTTGGCAGCAGCAAAGACAAAGCGTTTGGTAGAAAAAAGTTTTTTATTTAAAGAAAAATCGCATAAACTAAAGTGTAAGAAAGAAAGAAGCTTAAAGCTCGTGTTTTTATTTGTTTTGTTTTTTCGTCGTTTTGCGCAGACGCTAACTGCTTGCCATTGCCATATTGACTTGTCATAATCGTGCCATATTTATGTGCTTATACATTCAATAAATTGTTGCTTTTCGTTAGCTGCTGGAGTTGTTGCTAATTCTTGTTGTTGTTGTTGTTGATGATGATTAAACATATGTTACAGTTAACAATGTGCGCTGTGCCTTTAAACGGCGATTCATGCGAATCTCGAACAGGATTTAATGGTCATGGGAATGTTAAGGAAATCGATGAACAGCTACAGTGTTTCAGAGGAAGTCAAAATTTTTTGAATTTTTTTTTTTTCTTTTTTTTCCGATTTTGCTTTTTCATATAGACAACTTTTCCATCCAATTTTAATAAAATTTCGTACATAATTTTTAACAGTCTAAGACATTTTTTGCAAAGTTTTCTTTTTTATTTCTTAAAATACGTAATTTTTACTTCGTATGAAAATACTAGGATTTATTTAAGAATTGAAATTGATTGATCGATAAAATTTGCTGTTTACATAGCAATGGCTTTGTTGATGAATAAAAGATGCAGTACCCATACCAAATAACCGATGATTAACCAACAAATAACCAATCAACAAGAAAGATATTTAAAGGCCATAGGATTAAATTTAAAAAAAAAACAGAGTACTAAATACCCAATATATATGTATATGTACGCATGTATAACCGACGTGTAACCGGTACATAACCGATAAATACCCGATAGCTAACAGAACAAAAAATGTTAAATATCTGTTTAAATAAAAATCTTCATTATGCGAAATAACTAATATATAACAGGTTACGTGTACATAACCGGCAAGTAACCGGTACATAATCCATAAATAACCGATTGACATAATTTGATATTTAAAGACCATATTGAATACAAAATTTGAGGGTACTGAATAAACAATGCCTGTACATAACCGATGACTTCCCCGAAGATAACCGATCATTGACACTGAGTAAAGTTAAAAAGATATAATTTTTTTTCGGAACGAGTTTTCGTCATCTCTTTTCAAGCCTAAGCGATTTTGGTCGAGTCCAACAAAGCACGCCGATAAGGAATCTACGCATAACCGATCGATAAAGTTAAATAAGAGATTTCCCACCGTTTGAACACCAATGCATTACCGATAACAAACCGGTACATGACCGACAAACAACGATCAGATAATAGTTCGCTAAAATTAGGTAAATTTAAATAAAGCTCTTTGCGTTATAATTAGAAAATTTCAGGGCATCAAATAACCAATCCATAACAGGTAGATAACCGGTAGATAACCGATCGGCAAAAGTGAGAAATTCTAAACAAATCGTTTTTGTTGATTTTCGAAGAGAACAAAATATAGTCAACGCCTACAGATGACAAAAATGCCTCATCTTCCTTATTGGTTCGGTAATCGCTTGAACAATTGTGGCTGAAAAAAAAAATTTTAAATGCAAAATTTCTAATATTGACCAAAGGCAACAAATAACTTTCGAAGAAAAAACTGTCCACACTTTTTTTAATTGGAGCTAATCGTAGATAGATAACCAAAATAATAAGATTTTGAAGGAAAAACGTTAAATAAACTGATAACTGATCGAAACATAAGAGGACAATTTCAAGAGAAAGTGTTTTGAGGAGGAAACTATGAATTTTATAATATTTACTAACCAATCCATTATAAAAGAAACTCTCAGTCAAGCTATCTCAACCTACTTAAATCAAACAGTCACAACTCCAAAAATTCCAAATGTTCAGGAGAGTCAAAAAATGCTGTTGATGGTGCGCAAGCGACGCACGTAAAACAAAAACAGTCTTAATAATATTTTTCCAGTTAAAGAAGACGGCGATGAAAAAGAAACTTTGGCGAACTTTAGATACTAAATATGTATATGGCCTGCGAACTATTTTATGGAAAGAAATAAATTTTGAAAAAAATTTAGTTGCGACTGTTTTTGATTTAGGGTGCGATAAATAAAGAGGTCTCCCAAGTCTCCAGGGACGTTGGATATCTTCCATCAACCACGCTGCTCTAAACACTCAACCACTCCCATTTGAGGCCTTTTAGAGGAGTTTCTATGTTTAGTTTTTCCCTCTTTTTAAATTAAATTTATTAAAAATAAATAAATGAACATAATTTGCAAACAATATCATTTTGAATTTCATTGCCAATTAGCTGATCGCATCTGTACATATATGTTTTAATTTAATTTGCTTTTTAGAAACTTATTTTATGTATTATTCTTTTTTCATTAAATTTTTTGTCCTAATTTAATTTTCTTTAAATTTGTGGATGTTCTTTTAGAAAGAAAAATTTTGTTTAATGCTTTTAGTTTTAAGGAACTTATTTTATTTTTTCTTTTGAAATAAATTTCTTTTTTTAGTTCTCTTTTAGTTTTTAGATTTCATTGTTTAAAAAAAAAAAATATTTTTTTAAATTATATTCAATTGCTAGAAACTATTTTAATTTGTTTCCTTCTTTAATTTAATTTGTTTTTCTGTTGTTAATTTCACTTTCAGAAGCTCGGCCAAACACTAACATATGTGTAAGCGCCAATCTATTATTATTAGTATTATTATTATTATTATTATTAATTTCACTTTCTTTTAATTTTTAGATTTATTTTTTTTTTTAAGAAAAGTATGTTTTTGTTTAATTTAATTTTTAGGATCTTAATTTATTTTTTTGGCTTTTTCAATTTAACTTACTTATAATTTTTAGATTTTGTTTTAAAATATTGATTTTTTATTTTGTTAACATTTAAGTACATATTATTTTCTTCTTTTTTGATTTTTCCCCTAATTTAATTTTTGATTTTATTGTTTTAAAAAGAAAACAAATTTTTTAATTTTTATATTTTTTTTTAATTTTGCTTTATTTGCATTTTATTTTATTTTTTATATTATTTTCTTTTATTTATTAGTTTTTATCATTTAATAAATATATATGTATTTTTAAATTTAATTAAATTTTTAAAAAACTTATTGCTAAAAGTTGAAAAACATAAAGCTAAGGCCGCCTCGTTAGCAGATCTTTCAATTAGTCTTTCGAAAAACAGTAAAGAGCTTTCAAAATAGTTGCCAGAATTGACAATACTTAGTCTTACGAGAGACTCCACTGTGCTTGCGCGTCGTCTTAGCTAAAAACTACTATAAAAATAGATGCTATAATATTTTTTTTTATTGTTTTTTACAAAGGCATTTTTTTTTTTTCTTAAAAAGCAAGAACTGCCTAGCTGCTACTCATGTTACTTGCACCTGAGCCCAGAGCCCACAGCCCGTTTGGTGTGACCATTACACCTGTTTGCTAACCTACTGCCGCTTCTGCTGCAGCTACATACGAATACTAAGCCATTGTTGCGCTGGCTGGCCGCCAGCTGCGTTATGGTGGTACTCGCTTTGGTTTGACTTTTTAGCAGGCTGGGCTGTGGTGTGGTAGCCTTGCAACATGTTTGTCGCGCGCATTTGGCATGCGGCATGCGGCATACGGTTGCAGTGAAACTATTCGCGGACGAAAAATTAACAGCGTTAACAGAAAAGTTCAAGTCGGAATGTAAAAATTCTGTTGAATTTAATGTTGATAACATAATACAATGTTGAGCAACATGAAATGTGATGTCTTTGTGAGCAAATAAACGAAAATATGGTAAATCTTCACATAATTTTCATTAATTTGTAATTTTTGTTAAATCTTTTATCTTGTTCTCCTTTTATCAAGATGCAAATACAATTTAAAATAATGATAGTTTGGCATAAAGTTTACACACATATGTATGTACATGCATACATATACTGGCAATCAAAAGTGAGTGCATGGTGTTTTTTGCTTAATATTTGCAATGTTTTTCAATTAA